TCAGAAACACTTCTCTGTGTGCGACACGTCTCAGATCCGGGAGCTACGGCCCGACGGCTCCCGAGGGAAACGTCTGCGTTTCGAGCCGCTAAAAGCTTCTCCGTGTTCAGCGGCGAGCGTCTGACTGAGCCGTGTCTGTTTGCTGCTGAGCAGGTACTCCGCTGTGGCTTTTTAGAGCTTCTCCTCTGAACACAGACGCCTGCTGCGAGTGAAAACAACGCTACGGGCAACCGCTCTCGCGCTGTCACAATATTTTCACATCGTCATTAGAAAAAAACGCCAGTTTAAAAAGAGAGAGAAGAAGAAGCTCAGTGATACAGCGAGTGTGTTTTTACTTCACTGCAAAAGGAGTCCTGCAAACACAGCAGCTCAATGTAAACATCACACGATCTGCAAGGGAAACAAATATGTGTAAAGACTTCAGCTCATACAGATGATGAACATCTGCAGTCACATCTGTCTGCTGCCCAGGCTAATCTAAGCATTGTGACATCACTAGTCTAGTCCAATCATCTGTGTGCTGGTCTTCTCCAGGCCAATCAATTAAGATGGACAAAGGAAAACAAAGAGAAAATGAAATTACCAACAAATGTCGAATGATTTTGACTGTGGTGACGTCCTGCCTGCACAGACAGAAAAAGACGTGGGACTCCGTGACCTCCGTGGCACAATCACGTCTCCTGTGACCAACAAGTCGGCTCCATCAGAGGTCAACCATCCATCATGTTATCACGGTGATGCAGAGACTAGTCTCCGCCCACCTGAGAGCACAGGTAGAAGCTCCCTTGACCCTGAGAGGTTTGCACGCAGACTGAATCTGGGGGTGGCTGATGCAGTCCTCTGCATGCACGGTTAGAAACGCCTCCTCTGGTTCCTCACGTGCGTCGACACGATTCAGCAGCTGCTACTGAGAGAGAAGCTGCAGGAAACACCTCAGGAGGCGATAACGTCTCCGTTCCTGCTCACCTTCCACACTTTGAGGTCAGAAACACTCTGGATGTGTTAGTGATGTTCAGGAGGACAGATCTGCTCCTGCATGTGATAGCAGCAGAGATGGTGAGAGGACGGCTACACAGCTGACGTCTGGGACAGGATGTCAGCGAGGTCCAAGAGTCCCCGAACCGGGCGGCCGCACTGATAACAGGCCGAGCTCAAGACCAGTGCAGAGACCGGATACGAGAAGGATCCGAGCAGGCTCTGCTTCAGGGAAAGCATCACAGGAGCAGCATCGAGCTGCAGGCTCCAGCAGACGGGATAAACTGATCAGGAAGTCGGGCTCTGGGATTGGAGGTCACCAAAAAACAGTGATCCATCATGGATAATCCCGACCACCTCCTCTCCTCCTCTAACACAGGTGCTGCCCTGAGCGCAGACGCAGGAAGACACATCTGCCAGATGTTGTGACTCTTCATGTCTGCCGTAACAAACGCACAAATCCAGGAATAATAAAGAATTTCTCATCTCTGTATGCAGACGTAGACAAATGTGTTGTATTTTGTGCATGTGTGTTTTAAATAAAGTTACTATTTAAAAAACTGGAGACGGTGCAGCGATGCTTGGAAGTAACGGACGAGC